TCGAAATTTTTTTTTAGATCTTCCTGTAGTTTTGCCGAGTCCTCGTCAGATTTGATAACACGTCCTATTTTAGTGTCATCAGCAAATTTACTTATGTTGCTGTCAATGCCGATATCTATGTCGTTTATGTATATAATAAATAATAATGGTCCAAGTACTGAGCCTTGGGGAACTCCACTTGTGACGTTGCTCCAATGGGACTTAGTGCCGTTAATGCTCACTCGCTGTTTCCTGTCCTGTAACCACGCCCTAATCCATTTAAGGATGTCACCTTTGATGCCATGAGCTTCTACCTTTCTAATTAGTCTTTCGTGGGGGACTCTGTCGAAGGCTTTGCTAAAGTCGAGATATATGTAGCAAATGTAATTGTAATTATGTAGGACAAACAGGAAAAACACGGCAGCTCAGAATCAAACAACATAAGTACAATATCAGAGCATCTGAAAGCAGTGCCTTGCTCGTTCATGTTAGGAATAATAATCATCCCATTGCTTGGGAAAAAAGCTTAGAAGTATTTAAATCATCTTGTGTCACAGAAAGACTTCTGGTTGAAGCTAGTTTGATTAAGGAATTAAAATCAATACACCTTAGTGATGGTCAGTTCAAAACTGATAATATGTTATATAAATTTATTTGTCAGTGGCCCAAGGTTAAAAATGCATTGAAAACCTTTGATCTAGATGTATGATAGTTATTTAATGGGTCCCTTATTTTTGACCTGACCTGACTAGTCACGTCACCCCCTTCTCTTAAGCTCCTCTACGTGTGTGTTGGTGTGGGGATTAGTGGATGACATCATTATGACCTGACCTCATGTTTTATAAGGTCACCCTGTATATTTATGCCTCTCTCTGTCCATGTAATCCAGTTGCCTCTGAAGATGTCTTGAATAAAGACGAAAGCTAAGGTGCTCCGTTGTTTCCCCTTTTCCGTGTGATTTTATCAAGATTTATCTTATCCACGTTTTCATTGTGGATCTATATGATATATATATATATATATATATATATATATATATATATATATATATATATATATATATATATATATATATATATATATATATATATATATATATATATATTTTATAAAATCACACAGGGAAGATGTCTTGAATAAAGATGAATAGTAGAGCGGATAATGGAAAAATCGTGCAAATGGTGATAGAAGCATGAAATTTGGCATGATCATACCCTATGGACTACTTGTCAAGTTTGCCTGATTGACCATTTGCAAATCCAAGATGGCGGCCATTTTTCAGGATGGCTGCCAAATTGACCTTCGAAAGATTTTTTTTTTTAAATTGATGTAGTTGGTCAATCTAAATGATCTTAGTGTTGATATGTATGTTTTCAAGCATGCTCAGATGATTTTTTCTATTTCTGATACTCTCAGATATATATTTGTCTTATTTATGACTGGTTTATGTTCTGGTTTTATGTTTTTTCCAGCTAGGTGAGGGTAGCAAGCAGAGAGTCTCTGCATGTGAGGGAGTGATTGTCGGGCACTACCAGGGCACACTGGTGACATCACTGCTGTGCAACCCAGCATGGGGTTCAGTGTCAGCTAAGAAAAAGCATGTCATACTGCAACAGCTTAGTGTCCCAAATGCTGCTTAACCAACCCCAAATCAGTTAAGCAGCCGCACCTGAATTGACAGGATGTGCCAGCGCGGGAGAGCCGAGCCAAGGATAACGAGGTTTTAGTTATCTGGATGGTGTACAGATCACACGGGACTAATGGCACTGGATGAACGATCGGACTAGGTGTAGGGCAAAAGGCTTGAACCTAGTTGTATCCCATACAAGAAAGTGCGCATCAGGGTGGTAAAAGGATAAACCCTCGGCCCTGAAGATCAAAAATAGTTATGGAAACAAAATCTACCAACAGATCATTCCTCACTGACTGGACAAAGTGTAGTCTTTGTCAACAGGATAGGAAGGAAGATCTTAAGTCTCCACATGCAAATCCTGCCAAAAAAGGAGATGACGGTTACAAGAGCTTGGCAAGGAATATTCCTCTATTTCATTCAATCGATGTACTGACAATCAAGCTCGACCCTGCAAGACTTGTTGAAGATAATGGGATAGAGGAGACCTTGAGGAGAAACAAGGCACAGTATCATGAGAGTTGCAGACTTCTGTTCAACAGCACAAAGTTAAATAGAACTCAGAAACATCGAACCTCTGCAGTTGCTACAGAGGAGAGCAGCAGTAGCAAGATACCACGAATGGTCAGAGACCCCAAAGCAACAGAATGCTGTCTATGTGAGGAAGAAGCTTCGGGAGATGACATAAGACATGCAATGATTGTGCGAAGACACTTAGCGATGGAAAACTCCTTTCCAAACTAAGTGCAGGAGGTGTTGTGGCACATGAACTGAAGTATCACCCTCGCTGCCTGGCAGACCTGCACAACCGAGAAAGAACACACCGAAATGCTCATGAACAAGAAGAAGCACAAGAGCTTCATCCGAACAAGGACGCATACCCAACTACTTTCTCTGAACTGGTCACTTACATCACTCAGATGAAAGCTTCTAGTGAAGGTACTGAACCACCCATTTTCAGACTTGCTGACCTTGTCACACTCTAAGACAGAGCTGGGTGTTGGATCGCCCGATGTTCATGCTACTCGACTGAAGGACCAGCTGCTTTTTCACATCCCCCAGCTGCAAGCTCATCACCAAGGAAGAGATATCTATCCTACTGGCCTTTGAGAAGGATTTTGGTTCAAATCCTGGCACAAGCAAGCATATACGGCAACGCGATCCATCTGGCCAAGGCTGCTGGGATGATACGACGTGACATGCTTCAGCACAAGTCACACTTCAGCAGTACATTTCATGAAGGATGCATTGAACAGGCTGTTCCACCATCACTGCTTCAATTTGTATGCATGATCGAACATGGTGCAGATATCAAATCCCATCTCCAGCATGGCGCATCGAAGTCTGACCTTGTTATGTCACAGCTCTTACAGTACAACTGCTTTGCCAACTACAAGATAGAAACACAATTCCACAGACACTCCAAGGACCATGAGACACCTTTTGCTATCTACGTCGGCATGTTTGTGTTAGCTAAGACAAGAAAGAGGCAGCTCATCGACATGCTGCATGACTCTATGCATGACTCCATGACTCCATTCCACCAACCCAGGCAGCCCTCAAGGAACATGCAAAGCGGGCTGCCTACCAGGCTGGTATCATCTGGGGCCAGGCAACAATCTCCAATCCAGAAACCAGCAGTCCTGTCAACTGGGGATGGATGCAGAAGGGAGAGGCATGGCAGATACGTTGGACGACTCTTCCCCCGATTGCGACATGCTGTCAGGAGCTGACCAAATGTTCGTGTAAGAAAGACTGCAACCAGAGATGCAAATGCTTTCGCTCTGGACTTTCCTGCACAGCACTTTGCAGCTGAATATGTGAACAGCAGTAAATGCACAAAGATGTACTGTCAGGAAAAGTCACAGGAACCAGTGCTAATAGTGAGTACTTTTTTTTTTGTAAGTTCTTTTTTGTTATTTTTTTTACTAAAATTGTTATTTTATGTGGATAAAAATGTTATAATGGACTTAAAACTATAAAAAATTAGCTGAGCATGCTTGAAAACATACATATCGACACCAAGATCACTCAGATTGACCAACTACATCAATTTCTATAAGAAAAATCAACTTTTGAAAGTCAATATGGCGGCCATCTTGAAAAATGGCCGCCATCTTGGCTTTTCAAATGGCCAATCAGGCAGAATTGACTAGTAACCATTAGAGAATAACCATGCCATATTTGGTGCTTGTATCACCATTTGCATGATTCTCTTGAAAAATTGCATTTAGTTCCCCCACTAGAAAGATAAGGTGCTCCACTGTTTCCCTTTTCCCTGTGTGATTTTATCAAGATATATATATATATATATATATATATATATATATATATATATATATATATATATATATATATATATATATATATATATATATATTCACACATCTTCATAGGCTTCTGAAGATGTCTTGAATAAAGACGAGTTAAGGTGCTCGTTGTTTCCCTTTTCCCGTGTGATTTTATCAAGATTTATCTTATCCACGTTTTCATTGTGGATCTACATGAGAGATATATATATATATATATATATATATATATATATATATATATTTTCGTGTGTGTGTAAAGAAACAAACATGCACGCCGCCTTTGCATAATCAAAATACATAATTTTGTTTTTCTCTCCTAGTAGTACATGCAACATAGGAAGTCAAATTCTTTGGCAGGCTTAAAGGATTAAATCCAGAACTGGGCAAATCAATTGCGACAATTTAACACCGTCCAAAGAACGAAAGAGAGAAAGAGAGAAAGAGAGAGAGAGAGAGAGAGAGAGAGTAACACCATCTACATCAAACAGAGAGAACAACATTGACAGAGAATAAAGTGCGTGGAATTCAATAACAGACAATAATGTACTACCAAATGTAGTAGACAATAATATTCAAGTCAATATGGATGAATTCAGTATCATGAAGTCAAACCATTGATATTCCTGTTCACTCAAGACTCTCGGGCGAAGAATACAAAAATAGAACACAGCAAGTGATAGTCAAACAAGGCAACCATGAAAATGTAAAACCTGCTGTAGTGAAAACATCAAAAGATACACAGACAATAGACTACATATAAAGATTTGCTAACACGAGTCATGGATGCAGGAAAAACCAACTCACAGTTAGTAGACAACAGGTATGCACACAATAACGAAAAAAGTAAATAAATAAATAAATGAAAACAACTATAAAAATGTGGGAGTGCCAAAGGAGAAGATTAGGAGTGTGAAGTGTGAGGGAGTATGCTGTGCGAGTGTGAATTGTGGAGTGTGAGGATGTGAAGGTTAAGGTTGTTGTCTGTGAGGGTGTGGAGTGTGAGGGTGAAGAATGGGAGAGGAGGGGGTCAGATTTGACCTGGCAGCGCCAACATCTTCAGCAGGCAGTGGGAGACTCACCTGGACGCGTCGGAGGCCACGCTGGTGTTGGAGCGGGTCCGTCGTGACTTGAAGGAGTCGCCACGGTTGACGATGCGACGACCCGTGATGGAGAAGTGTCTGAGGCGGTAGTAATCGTCCTCGTCTTCGTCCTCGCCACCGTTGACAGGGAGTGAAGTAAGGCGAGGACGTTCTAGAGGAAGGGCGAGGAGAGTTGGACGTGCCAGGGACTTGATGGACCGCGAGCGGGCGTGATGGGGCGACCCGTACTTCATGTCGAACTCATGTAGCTCTGCAGGGGTGAGGTCCTCTGGGGTGATGGCCGGGAATCCTGTAGGCAGGACAGGCGGCGACCCCACCTCCATGTTATTATGTGTGCCGCCTGCCAACCACCCCTCTCCAGGATAGTCCGCCTCGAACATGTCCACTCTTAGATCGGGCGTGGAGAGTGGCGCCGGAGAGGTAATGTTGGGCTTCTGGGTAGGAGAGGACGCGTTGGGTCTTTCTGAGACAACCTCCCCCGTACCAGTCCCCGGGGAGCCGAGAGATGCAGGGGATAACCCCAGTAAAGGAAGTGATTTCCCGCTCAGGGGAACGATTGTGCTACCCAAGGCAGATTTCTCGTTCATTTGTAACCCCGTGACAGACGCAGCGGGACTGACGAAGGCGCAGACTCTTGTAGGCTCCGACGTGAGAGCGGGCTTACTGGCGAGGTGCAATGGTCCTAAGGATACTATATTTCTAAAATCCTTCGATTTTGGAGTAAGGGTACTAGTGTCCTCGTCGACAGAAGAACCCAGTAGCGGCACGGTGTCCCCTGTGTTCATAGCTCCATCACAAGACATGTCTAAAGGTTCCAGCAGAGGTAGGGTGTCCACTGGGTTAATACCCCCAACGATGGACATACTCACTACTACAGGAGACAAAACAGTGGGCGAGGTTCTCCTAGGCGAGGGGCCGTCAGTGACGGTGGTCGCCTTTGACGGGGAGACGACGGCGGTAGGTGATGTTGTATGATATGTTGAGCTTACTGTGTTTGCTGCCCACACGGGGGAGGCGAGGGGGGTGACCACCACCCGAGACGGGGGCGCGGCACCGCTGTAGTCTACTTCCATACTCTGCCCCTCCATCGGGGACGTTCTCACTAAGTCTACACTGCCAAAACTCTGTTCATTATCACTTGAGAGATCCATCAGGTTAACACTCTCGGCACTGTCCACACTACTCGGTTGCGGGTGGACGCGGCACTGGCTCCTGGGATCTGGGGGAGGTGGCAGCGGGGGCACCACAACCTCACATGCCAGCTTCTTCTGTTTCTGAGCCACACCCGTCTCACTTCCCCGTCTGCTGGTGCTTTCTGAAGGACTTTTCATCCCAGAAACAAACCCGTGTTTATGTCCGTGTCCGTGCGTCGACCTCTTCCCCAGGGGTGACCTGTGACCTTGTATTGGAGACGCCCTTGGAGATTTACCTGGCCTTTGGCGAACCCCCAAGAGAATAGGAGCATCGACAGTGGCAGTGTGGGGTCCTAGGATGTTGTCTGCATCTATCTGCAGTTGCCTCACGGGAGTCCTAGAACGTCGTGCAAAGTGAGTACTGGACTTCATAACCTTCGGGGAGAGGTGCGGGTGGGCGAGACGAGGGTGGTCAGGGCCAGGGTGGAGGGTGGCGTGCAAGGTTGGGTGGGCGGGGAAGGCTGCCTCACCGCCGGTGGCCCCTTTGGGTTGGTCTCGCTCCTGCTCCAGCGTCATCATCCCTGTAGAAAAGAGCGAAATCCCGGTCAGGGTCTAGGGAGTAGGAATGACAATGAAGTACGATACACAGAAAACACACACACACACACACACACACACACACACACACACACACACACACACACACACACACACACACACACACACCCACACACTAATACTACTACTACTACTACTACTACTACTACTACTACTACTTTTTTTTTTTTTTTTTTTAAACGTGGCCTCCAGCCTCCCCCAATAGCCACACCTTCGCCACCATTTATTTACCTTAATATTAAATATCCTAATACATAAGCCCTAGGCATGACTGTAGCCTCATAGTCGATATCTGCAGCATTAGGGGCAGAAGCTCTCGTTCCCCTGAGGCAGAGCAAAGCCGACCGAAGGAGAGAGAAGGACAGTCGACATCTCATCCAGGCTGTGACATAACTTCTGGGCTGCTGCTTCTGTTCGGAGATCAGCTCCGCGAGTCTGGCGTAGAAACATCTTGCACTTGGGCCCATCCCACCAGAGGTTGTGAACACTAGAGGAGTGAAGCTGCCTTGATCAACATTTTGAATTCTCTCCCCATATGCCCTTCTCTTGTCGTTCTCGTTCCTCCTATGCGCAGCATCGAGAGCTAGGTTACGGTGACAACGGCACATGGGATCAAAAAATCCTGATGTCGAAGAAAGCTCGCTGTCCTCTGCGTCCAGAATCCTCGAGCACTGACGTCCACACGGGCTTCGTTAGATGTGTTTGAAGTCCTGTGTTGGAGGATCTCGCCATCCAGTGGAAGGAGGGTCGGTTCTACCATGACGTCCCGGCAGATTTCCTTCAACATATTTGCTGTGAGATCCCTTACCTCGTCATGCCTCATGCATATGAAGCCCCCTTTCAAAACATGGCGTGATCGCCATCATAGGAATAGCCACACACGCATTGGGAGGGCAACCATCTACTGGCCAACCGTACCTTAGAGCAATGGCATCTGTAAATTCTTGTTTGTTAAGGCTGAAACCATTTGCCCTTATCGGTAACGTAGTTAACCAGTTCGAGGCGCCCACCTCCTGCGCTATAGCTACTTTTTTTGTCAAATTTTCTGGAACCTGCAGCAATAGTTGCTGCAACATGTCATTTTGGCAGTGCTGCCGATCTGTTGTAATGGATCTACGGATCTTATTAACTTCGCTGGTGTCCACTTCCCCTGTTGCATTCTGGGCTATTATGTGGTCAGTGAGGGCTGCCGTGAGCTTAAGTGAATTTTGATGTTCAGAGTCAGCAATCTCCTCTGGATTAGTTAGTCCCATCCCTCCCAGTCTTGGTGGAAGTGCAAGAAGTGTTCTTTCTACTGGGGTTAAGTCGTGGTGTTTCACTAGTTTGGGAATGAACTTGACACTGATTGCTTCTTCCAAAGGGTGGAGGAGGGGTCGGATCTCAGGGATGGTACGCATCAGGTAGTTCCAACGATGCTTGACTCCATGTGTGAATGCTGCAAAGGCCGCATGTGGCTCTGTGTTAGCAATCTCCGATAGAGCATGGATTTCGCTAACCCACTCGTTCACCTTTCCCCCTACGTACTGGGTCTTGAAGTCCGTAGTGCCAATTACTGCGCCTAGATGTCTTTGGCCGTCCTTAGTTATTTTGACCTCACTTTCGCCGAAAACCTCCACAGCCCGATCATAATGATCTGGCTTCACGATGAGGAAGGATTTGCTGGCGTTTGGGTGGTACCCTATTTGTGGACCTCGCGATGTTACCAGGTCCCACCACTTTTTGATGTCCTCCACTTTTCCTGCTCCTGTGAGGTCATCAGCATATGCCACTTGTTTGACCCCAGTTGTTTCATACTTTATTTCTTGTTGGAGCACTGATAGGCCTATTGCATACATTGCCATTGCAACGGGGTCTCCCTGTGTTGTTCCCTCGGTCGACTGTAGGATGGTATCACCTCGTAGAGCCTTGTTGTTTACTACGTAGAGGTCTGAAGGATACCTATACGAATTTTCAACATACATCGCAAAGCTAGGACACTTGATCTTGATGTTGTGCAGTGCCGCCTTGCGGTTAAGTATGTTGAATGCGTTTGAAGCATCCACCAGGAGAACGGCCTCACAATCACGCTGCTCAAATATCAATCTCATGGCGTGAATGGCCGCCTCCCCACCAGCCTGGTGGCCAGCACACACTTGTAGGTTCCCTGCTGCTGCCCTGACATCATCCTTTACCACCTCCATTATACACTTTCCGATGATCCGCCTCAGCACTTCCCCCACCCCTATAGGTCTACATCCTGGTTTCTTTTCCAGTGGAATAAGGCGGCCTCCATCCTCCCCTTATAGCCATACCTTCGCCACCATTATATTACCTTATAAGTAAATATCCAGATACATAAGTAGCTATCCTAGCTGTGTTGAGTCAATATCTGCAACTGTTGTCTGCTTTGGGGCCGATACTCTCGTTCCCCTGAGGCAGAGCAAAGCCAACTAAGGAGAGAGAAGGACAGTCGACATCTCATCCAGGCTGTAACATAACTTTTGGGCTGCTGCTTCTGTTCGGATAGCACCTCCACGAGTCTGGCGTAGAAGCATCTTGCACTTGGTCCCATCCCACCAGAAGTTGTGAGCACTAGAGGAGTGAAGCTGCCTTGATCAACGGTCTGAATTCTCTCCCAGTATGCCCTTATCTTGTCGTTACGTTCCTCCTGTGTACAGCATCGAGAGCTAAGTTACGGTGACATGCGGCCATGGGATCAAAAACCCTGATGTCGAAGAAGGCCCGCTGTCCCCACGTCCAGAATCCTCGAGCACTGACGTTAACACGGGCTTCATTGGATGAGTTTGAAGTCCTATGTTGGAAATTCTCACCGTCCAATGGAAGGAGGGTCTGTTCTACCCTGACATCACGGCAGATTTCCTTCAACAATTTTGCTGTGAGATCCTTTACTTCGTCATGCCTCAGGCATATAAAGCCCCCTTTTTTGCACACCATGGCGTGATCCACGTCATAGGAAGAGTCACACACGCATTGGGAGGGCAAACCTTCTACTGGACTACCGTACCTTAGAGCATTGGCATCTGTAAAGTTTTGTTTATTGAGACTGAAACCATTTGCCCTTATCGGTAACGTAGTTAACCAGTTCGAGGCGCCCACCTCCTGTGCTTTAGCTACAGTTTTTTTTTCAAATTCTCTGGTACTTGCAGCAACAGTTGCTGCAACTTATCACTTTGCCCGTGCTGTTGTTCTGTCATAATGGACCTTCGAATCTTGTTTACTTCACAGGTATCCACCTCCCCTGTTGCGTTCTGAGCTATTATGTGGTCTGTGAGGGCTGCCGTGATCTTAACTGAGTATTGATGTTCGGTGGCAGCAATCTCCTCTGGATTGGTCAATCCCATTCCTCCTAGTCTCGATGGTAGTGCAAGGAGTGATGTTTCTGCTGGGGTTAAGTTTGGGAATGAAATTGACGCTGATACCTTCTTCCAGAGGGCGGAGGAGGTGTCCGATATCTGGGATAGTGCGCTTCAGGTAGTTCCAGCGATGCCTGACTCCATGGGTGAATGCCTCAAAAGCCGCATGTGGCTCTGTGTTAGCAATCTCAGACAGATCTTGGATTTCCCTAACCCACTCATTCTACTACTACTACAACTACTACTACTTTGCTGTCACTCGGAATCGAGTATGACGATCATCCTGCTATGATACTATGATATAAGTTATTAGGGATGTCACCTTCATTGGTGAGTTTTGAGGTGACTAAAGAGCCCGATAAGGGACCGGCAGATTTGTTCCCAGATTTGCACATGTGGAGGGCTACATCGAGTGCGGGAGGGGCGGTGGCAGTCGGGCTAATTCGAAAGTCTTGACACCTTCTCTTGTGGTCGTTTTCAAGGTGAAGGAGTCGATTGTCACTTGTTCAGGTTTATCTTAAAACTATCCTTATATTTTTTCAGTTGTCCACTAGCGTTACGTTTACGATTTGTTAGATGACTGTAAAGTAGCTACTTTAGCAGTCTACTGTCGTCCATGCGGGCAACATGGCCAGTCCAGCGTAGACGATCTTGTATAATGGTAGCCTTGATGTTCCTACAGATGGTGTCAGTGAGAATACTGCATTTGCTCTCTTGTCTTCCAGCGAACTCGGAGGATGGAACGTAGACTACGTAGATGAATGTTTTCAAGTTCCTTGAGGTGCCTCCCGTATGTGACCCATGTTTTGCTGCCATATAGCAGGGTGGGGAAGACCACTACTCGATATATGTATAAATTTGTAGATAATTTCAGCTCCCCATAGCTGAAGACACGGTTGCAGAGTTTGCCACAGGCTTGAGATGCACATCTGATTCGATGCTGAAACTCTTCATCGATGTCCACGGTGGTGGACAGGTAGGAGCCGAGATACCGAAAGTGGGTGCCATTAGAGAGGGTAATACCGTTAAGTTGGATGGAAGGAGGAGGTGTGGCTGAACCAGAGGCAGGTTGAAAGAGAATCTGAGTCTTATGTACATTCAACCTCAAGGCCGAAATGTGCAAACGTTTATGTGTAGGTGTTCAGGATCTCCTGTAAGTCGCGTTCAGTGTGAGCGACAAGAGTGAGGTCGTCTGCATACTGAAATTCAGTAACGGAAGCTGCTGACACTTTTGTTCTTGCCTGGCGTCATTTTATGTTGAAAAGACTCCCTTCATCAGGTACTCGATGTCCACTCCGCCGGCTAAATTGACACTGGCACTAGTAAGGAAGGCGGCCAAGAAAATGGAAAAAAGAGTTGGTGCAAGTACACACCCATCTATAATCCCCGTTTGGATGGGGAAGATCTCAGACTGGGTGCCATTGTGCAGGAGACTGCCGTTCATGCCATCTTGGAGTTGCCTTACAATGGCGATGAAATTTAGGGGGCAGACAAAACGGCTGAGGGCCACCAGAGGGATTCCCTCTTGACCGAGTCGAACGCCATGGTTAGGCCGATGAAAGCCATGTACAGGCCACGATGCTGTTATCTGCAGTTTTTCTGTATCTGGCTGGCAGCAAAGATCATGTCACTGGTGCCACGTGATG